AGCGGAACTGGACTTCGACCGCTCGTTGGCTCGGCCACTTCGCGCCAACTGATCTCGTCTCTCATTGGCCATTGTTTTCCGTTAATAATTCGTAAACGAAGTCGCGAATTGCATTTTCGCCAAGGAAAAGGTTACTTCACATGACCTCGGGAACCCCTCATTTCTCTCTTGTACAGTAATTTTGAGACACGTTGTATAACGTTTTTTTATATGCAGTAGACTAAGGGTGTCATCCCTTGGACAGTCATCGTTTGACCGCGAATCTTTGAGCAAAATAAAAATTTTCCAAGATGATTATGAGAAACAGAAATGAAATAAGAATAAATTGTTTCCTTTGATCATTTTAATAAATTGAAAATGGTGTGACTACGTTCTTTAATTTTTCTTTTGTCTTGACAATTTTTTGTTTCAGCTACATACTTCTGCCATAAATGCATAAGATCTATTAGTATAAAACGTTCTTCTTTGACGCCAAATTCTTCAAGATCAAACGTAACTAAGAAGTGCAAACTGTGTTATTTGAAAGGTTTGTGAGAATAATCGGGTTTCGATTATTATTCAAATACAATTAAGTTTCATTAAGAGTACTTCCTATGTAATACTTTTATGCACCTTACGATTTATTTTCAAAGAAGCGTGCGTGTACAGACAATTTAATATAACGCAACACTATGCGAGGAGTTATCACAAAATAAAAATAACATATTTCCGTTTTTATTTAATATATTCATATAAATATGGACATTATTATATTTGCAATAGAACAGATTGATAAGATAATGCTTATATTAAACAAAAATTGAAAAATATGCTTTCTAAGTTACAATGAAATGAAGAAAAAAATTCTTAACGTAATTGAAATTATCGTGACCAAAATTTACAAACTATTTGAATTCCTTTTTAATATTGTTATAATAATCATTCGTTACAACTGCAACGAACAACTTTTAGACAGATAAAAATACAAGAAAATGCGTAAATATCATCATAATTTTTTTTTGGCAGTTGAAAAATATTTATATGATTTTTAGACATTCGGATATGCGAATATATAAACATTAAAATTCAAGTTTGGCACAGAAAATGTTCACGAACGAGACTCGCTATTTCCACTTAAGGGATTAAAACGATTTCAACGAATTCGATTGTTGAAGATTTATTCTAAACGCCTTCGCGAAACTACGTTGGAATCGAGAAAGAGACGAATCCTCGCGAAAGGATAATTGAAAACTGCAGGATGCAGCTTTTGCACGAGAACAATGTCGGTTTCTATTCAATTGCACGCGTGTCGCGCGAAACTCGAGGATCCTCTTTCCGAAAAACTTCTCCGCGAACTTCTCGCTTACATCTTCGCAAATAGTCGCCCATTCTGCAGTCGCGACTGCAGGGACACCCGGTGTAGAGGTAACCTTTATCTTCAACTTGGCGAGAAAATGACGAGCCGGCGTGAAAATAGAATGTAAGTTCCTTCCTTCCAAGTCATGAGAAACCTCTCGCTTTGAAAGGAGGTTCAGCACTTGGGAGACGCTTAAGATGAATTTCCAGGATCTCTGGTTATCCCGAAATCCTCCTCGGGCTGACACCGGAGTAACTATCCCCTTCCCGAAGAAAAATCAGTTTTCGAATTAGATTCGACCGATCGGCTCGCCTCTTAAATCCGAATTTCTCCGCGGGAAAATTGGTTCGAGTGTTTAGCATCGATTTTCCTTAACGAACGCAAATATCCTCCAGAGGTCGGCTCTGGGATTCGCCGGCACGTTCGTTAGCAGGGAGCGCCGACTGTTAGCCATTCTCGGCTTTGAAGGAACCACGGCCGAACGAAGCCGCCGTGAAACGAATAAAAGGCCGCATAATGCGAAAGTGGAAGAGAGAGATAGAGAGAGAGAGAGGAAAAGAGAAAGAGAGCGAGCTCTCCCCTCCTCCTTCCTTCACTGGTTTTTTCGGTGGCTCGGCTAAAGTCTTTCCAGAAAATCGTGCATTCTATCGCCGGGACGTTTCGCTTTTTTCGGGATAAGAATGTCTTCCTTTCGGGCCTCGTTTGCGCGTCGAGAGAAAAAGTTGCCTCCGCCCTCGCCGGGCATTGTTACGAGGCTGACTGCTCGCTAAGAAAAGGATCGCCGGACGCTTGAAAGTTTTTTAATATGGGGAGCGTAATAAAGCGGAAGCAGGATCGTTGTATATTATCCAGCGAGCCCTTTGTGGACGCCGATCCCCGGATTGTTCCGCCGGCGAACCGGCGGACGATCGAGTGCCACTCGACACGAGAATCCCGCGACTCGCAGGAACACTTCGACGAGACAAATCATGGCCCCGCCTGTCGCTGGCTGCGGGACGCGAGTTCCTCGTAAAATCGGGGAGATCCGAAACTGCACCGTAACGAGGGCATGGACGGAAGATCAACACCGAACGCGATCAATAAGGAGGACCCATAAAATCGCTGGAAAGCAATCGCGGGGTAAACTGCGATCGTAAAAGTGCTCTCGGTCCTCTTCGTTCGTCTCTGTTTCCTTAAGCAACGAAAAACTCCGATCGCCGTGCCCGGCGACACGGCAGTGCCTCCAGTGCGGCCGGCGATTCGCAGACGGGCCCGCAGTCGAAACAAAAGTCCTGCGATACTAACCGAACGTAAGTTTACGCCGTGTTCCTTCGACCATGAGATTCATAGTCGCGAGAACGAAGTTATCAAACTGTTTTGCATGGAATGGATAAAATTCAATGCACCGTTCCGTATCCAACTTCGTCTGCGCGAGTTTAACGGCCGAGTCCACTTCTTCGTGCGTTTTCTTCCTTCGGAAGTAGCAAGTACGGTCTCGCGTTAAGCGAGAGAAATGATGGAAAGTAACGAACGACGGTGTTGGAACTATCCAGCACCGCGGAGCCTGTCCAGGAGGTAGCAAATTCAACCGCGCGTGTGTACATTGAACCGAGAAAGTCGCATCAACAGTGACGAAGCCACCCTAAGGGCCGCGACACGCGCAGCACTAAATCTCAAGTCAAACTCCGCCTGTTCTGGAACGTAGAAGCCAACGTAGCACCCGGGTCAACTTATCCTCGCGTTTTCTTAAAAGAAAACTATGTACCAGAATTTCTTTGAGCCTATTCGACGTTCAAGAGAATATGAAAAGTGGCAAACAACATTAGAATCGCGCGGCCAAGGTTTGCCCAAAAGTTCCCTAATTGAATCGCACGCCCACTGAACAGAGAAAGTCGTATTAAGGATGACAAAGCCACCCTTAAGGTCTCGGCAGATGCACCACTAAATCTCGAGTCAAATTGTGCACGTTCTTGGACATAGAAGACAACCTAGTACTCAGGGCGACTTATCCTTACATTTCCCTGAAGGATAATAATAAATTCTGTCGTAGTCCATCGACAGTATTAAAACGAAGACTATGCTAAGTATGAGAGAAGATGAACCCTCTTAGCGACGATCGAAAGAGTTGAGTATACCTGAGTGAAATATGCCAAAGCGTTTGATGCAGTTTGGCAAGAAATTACAAAAATTTTGTGAAACCTGATAATTATAAAATTCCAAAAGGGTCGAGGAATGAGAAATGAAATTACTATTTGTTAAAACTATGAAGAAAACAACATTTTCTCAAGTGTAGCCGACAACGATATATCGTTGTTCGGCATTGAAAATGTTAAAAGCAACAAAACTGTTTGATGCAGTTTTTGGCAGAGTTTTCTAAAGAAATTACAAAAATTTTGTGAAACCTGATAATTATAAAATTCCAAAAGGGTCGAGGAATGAGAAATGAAATTACTATTTGTTAAAACTATGAAGAAAACAACATTTTCTCAAGTGTAGCCGACAACGATATATCGTTGTTCGGCATTGAAAATGTTAAAAGCAACAAAACTGTTTGATGCAGTTTTTGGCAGAGTTTTCTAAAGAAATTACAAAAATTTTGTAACACCTGATAATTATAAAATTCCAAAAGGGTCGAGGAATGAGAAATGAAATTACTATTTGTTAAAACTATGAAGAAAACAACATTTTCTCAAGTGTAGCCGACAACGATATATCGTTGTTCGGCATTGAAAATGTTAAAAGCAACAAAACTGTTTGATGCAGTTTTTGGCAGAGTTTTCCAAAGAAATTACAAAAATTTTGTAACACCTGATAATTACAAAATTCCAAAAGGGCCGAGGAATGAGAAATGAAACCGCTGTTTGCTAAAACTGTGAAGAAAACAACATTTTCTCAAGTGTAAAATGCTAAAAGCAACAAATAACATTGGGCTAGCCCAGAAATCGTCCAAAAGTTACCCAACCGAACCCTTACGCCCATTGAACAGAGAAAGTCATGCGAACGGCGACAAAGCCACCGCCAGGATTTCGGCAAATACAGCACTAAATCTGAAGTCAAAGACCCTCTGTTCTGCAGCACAGCAGTCAATCTGTCCCTATATATTCCTAAAAGGAAAACGCGTAGTCCCTCGAAGGACGTCAACAAGGCAGAAGCAAGGCAAATTCAGCGAACAATGAAAACGGCGGCAGTCCGCGTTAAAACACCGTTGCACCGGGGCTCGTCCAAAACAAACCGAACTGAATCCTGTGTCGCAGTCATGAAATTCATATTACATGAGACGGGGCCGCCGAAAGGGTGCAGACAGGAGGCTATACTAAATCCCGAGTGCAACACCGTCTACGCGGAAACTCCGTGCCAGCGGTGGAGCCGGCTAGTTAGGCTAACTTCTCGGCGGCGTTCCGCTTGGGAAGGGAGGAAAAATAATCCGTCGGAGGAGTCGTTGGGACGAAAAACAGGAGGTAAGCCAGGTGAGAGAAAGGGTTAAAGTAGCAAGCAACGATGTTAGAACTACCCAGCAGACGTCGACGGTCTGTGTGCTCCGGTCGCGGAGGCTGCGCGGAAAAATCGATAGGCAACGGGAACCGACGGCGTCGCCGTCGACGGCGGTAACGGTGGCGGTGGTAGCGGCGGCGGCGGCGGCAGCGGTGGTGGTGGTGGTGGTGGTGATATCGGTGGTGGTGGCGAGTAGCGCGATAGAGTCCGATGGTGCAGTCAACGCTGGGACCGGCAGCCCAAAAGACACACGCGGATCTCGCCTGTTCTCCACTCCCTCCCCCCTTTCTCGAGCACAGCACCCTGCATCGGCGACCATTCACCCTCGACTACGTTCGTACGGCCCTGAGAGAAAGAGAAAGAAAGAGAGAGAGCGAGAGAGAGAGAGAAAGAGAGAGAGAGAGAGAGAGGCCGAGAGTGATCGAGAGGAACCGAGGAGAGCGTACAACGTGTCGCGTCCCGGGCCGGGTTTCCTCGCGGAGCGCGACTACTCGGGCCGGCACGGGCCGCGGGCTGAACAGGAGTCTGCAAAGAGGAGACCGACCGCTGGTGCATCGGCCAGTGCGTCCTTCTGCGTTTACGTGCAGTGGGTGTGTGGTGACGGGATCGCGACGCTGGTGACGCGACGTAGCACGTTGTGATCAAAACCGACGCAGCATGACGCTGACAATCGAGACGAAGACGACGGGGAACCTCTCTCCTCGTCGCACCTGTCGGCCTGGCTACCCGCTGCGTATTACCGATCGCGTGTGAGCCCACCGAGGAACGCGATGTTGTGACGCGTGACACCGCCGTGCCGCGCCGGGCCCGACCTGCACCGGGTCCCAATGCTCTCTCGCACGGAGAGCTTTCCCTTTTTCTCTTGCTTTCGCCGTCTCCGGACAGCCGCCCGGAGAACACCAGTTCTCCCGGCCATGGATGACAAATGCTTCGAGTGAACGGTAAATGTCAGCCTGGCCAGATGCGCGCACACCTATATACACACACACACAGACACGCCGGTGGACCGTACGTGACCCGCTCGCTGCCGTTCCAGACGATCTCTCGCGAGGAAACGGCGGCCGAGCCCCGCTGTCTGCCGGGATTTCGGGCTTTTCTCGGTTCACGAGGTCTCCGTGACACGTCACGCTACGCGCCTTTTCGAGGACAATGACCCCGCCGCGCACCTTGCTTCCTTCCGCGTCGCACTTTTCTCGCTGGATCAACCTTTTCACGGCCTCCTCCTCTTCCTCCTTCACCTCCTCCTCCTCCTCCTCGTCCTCCTACTTTTATACTCCTACTATACTCCGTCCGCTTCTCCTCTTCATCCTCCTCGCCTTTCTCGCCCGGCGAATGGGCGCTCGTTCGCTTTTACGGGCCTCCTGTGAACTCGAATCCAAAAAGTCTGTCCCTTCGTTATTTTCTCCGTGAACGGAATCGAGAACCCGGTCGTGCCCTCCGACCCGTCGACCGCGATGCCCAGGACGCTTTCAATTACGTTATGACGTTCGGCAGAGAGCCGCTGGCCCGATACTTTCGACGAGACCGCACGATATACTGTGCTGGTGCCGTTACTGCCATTAGAACCGGGTCGAATGCGGTTTTTGCGGTGCTTCAATTTCGGTAGCCGCGTTCGCGCAGCGTTATTTATAGTCGGCAATTTGTCCGAGCATCGTTTGCCCCGTCGAAACTAAATCTCTCGTTAAGCGTATGCAATGATACGTGCTCGCCGGCGTTAAGGTTGATTTAGGGCGCCGTTCTTTCCGATCCGAGTCCCGTCGAGTCACTGTTTGCCCGACTGTTCCAACGGGATTCGAAGGAACGAATAATAATATGTCAGGGTGTTAGGCTGTTTGCTCAGCCGATTGCGGAGCTTCCAAAGGAAATATAGCGACGACGGAGGGGGGACGCGTTTTATACGGAACTCTGCTCCCCGTAGACCCGTGATTCTCTTAATTCGAGCGCCGAAGATAGTTGCCAGCCAATTGTTCGAATGTACTTTTCGTTATTCGATTACTGAGCCGGTGCTGCCTCCGCTGCGAACAATGCATTGCTAACTCGGTGAATGCGGGAGTATTGCACAGGGCGAGACTCCTAACTCTTACACCTTAAAGGGCTTAGCCTAGTCCGTTTTAGACTCGCTTTGGTATTTTTTTGTTGCTAAAGGATCCGATCGTTTGTTATCCAATTTTCCTGTGCACTTTTGTTCGTGTTTCGATCGTGTTCCCAGAAATTTGTCGGCAAGAAAATGTACATCGTAGAAGAAGGTATTCAAGATCGGTAGTTCCGGTCATAATTTCAATAGATCTTCTCATCTGCTAAGAAAAAGTTCAGTGTTTCGTGCGTATATAAATATCGTTGACTTCGTTTTTAACATTTAACGCGAGTGTCAGCATCAAAGATTGCATACCATAACGCACAATGTTTGCATTCCTAAATCTGTCTGTATTTAATCGATTGTTAAAAACTTAAATACGGCATCTGTGAATGCGCTTAATTTCGCATAAACTTCGAGCGCGAACGTTTAACGGCTTTCTTATCTCGACAAAGGAACAAAGTATCGAATAACGAATTATTTCACTTTACGTGTGTCTGCATATCGTCTAGTTTCCGTTGAGAACATTCTTTCCCGTGACAAACAGTATTATAATTGATCCTGGTGATTCATTTCGATGGCGTAAATTGGTGATTATCACTGGAGAAACGTTAAATAAAAAAAGCGAGAGATCGAAACGTAGAATCTGAATCTTCAGTGGCGTCCAAAAACGAAGTTTCCGGCCAATAATCGGTGCTCCGCCGATAATTACTATTTCGTAATTCGCGAGTGGGGGCTTCGTTTTAATTTCGACTTCACCACGCCTTTCCCGTGCTCTTCCGCCCCGAGTCGCCATTGTCGCCATACAAGCATTATTAATCAGTGTTGCGGCTCGCGACAACGCATTCCTACATGCATAACAGAGGCATACTCTCCTCCACGTTCTCCCCTTCTTCCGTCATTCTTTTACTCCGTGTCACTTCTCTGCCTCAAGAGCAATCCTCTACTGCCGTGAAGCCTACTCCAATGTGTCCCTGCGCACGGTCTAACGTAAGAATGAATGGTTAAAGACATTACGACGCGTAACTTCCGCGCGATTGTTATTTTCTCCCCTCGTTGCGCGACCGCCAGCCTCCGGCTACCCAAAACACGATTCATCAGCGCGACTTCGTCGTGCACTAGTCTTGCTACAGCCCCTTGAAACTTGTCATCGATGATTCCAGCCCCTTCAACTTGTTCCCTTTCCACGTCCACGCTTTTAACATCCACTCGTCGTTTCGCTTTCCCGAGTACGCGTAACATTCTGCGCAAAATCCAAATTTTCTAAAGCGCCGCGAGCAAAATAGAAATTCCTTTTACTAACATCAATAAGTTATTAAGTTGGTCTCGCTACTTCGTTCGCTAGTACATCCGTGGACCGATGATTTCGGGATGGTCTAAGCTACAAGCAAGAACTGACAAATCTCGTGTGGAATTCGTTGGATTAAACCTTTGTTAAGTTTTCTAACGTGAACTATTAAGTACGGATGTTATTCATATTTCTGTTTTTAAATCGAAATTGAATTCTACTCTTCTATCGCCGACATTTAACACTCGAACGACGGACCTCTTTGACAAACGTATAACTGAGTATGCTTAGGATCATTCATAATTTTATTTGGCAATTTTGTTCAACATATTTTTCGAAACTCTGCTTCTAAACGCGTTAATTTTTTTATAGATCCTAACCAGACAGCTGTCTTTGGCGAATATATTCGTTATGGAGAAATGAAAACATTTTCTGTCATGACGAATATACTCGTCGAAAACAGTTGACTGTTTAAGCTAAGCAAATAAATAAATAGTAAAAAATAAAATTAAAGAAACAAAACAGTCGTTTGTGAGATTCTGGGTATCGATATCGTCTAGGTTCCATTCAGGACATTCTTTCCTGTGACAAACAGTATTATAATTGATCCTGGTGATTGATTTCGATGGCGTAAATTGGTGATTATCACTGGAGAAACGCTAAATAGAAAAAGCGAGAGATCGAAACGTAGAATTTGAATCTTCAGTGGCATACAAAAACGAAGTTTCCGGCCAATAATCGGTGTTCCGCCGATAATTGCTATTTCGTAATTCGCGAGTGGGGCTTTAAATTTTTTAGGAAAGACAGAGACATTTCTAAGTGACACGGTTTCTTGTAACCTATAAATTTCTATTTTGCATAAAATGCAAAGCAGTCGTTACCGCAGGTGCCATTTAAACAGCAGAAGGATTAAAAGAGTTGGCGTGTAATGATACATTACTCTCAACTTATTCAAATTGTTAGAGAACGAAAGACATTTCTAGGTAACCGTTTCTTGCAACTGTTGCATCGAATTTTTATTTCGCACAAAGATCCGCATTCTAGTCATTAAATATTCATAGCCTCCTTTTATATCTCCGTCATTCGTAATAACTTTATTTTCCTGGATTAACATCGCAACTACTACTAGGAAATTGGCGACGTTACTATTTCTAGATATTGCTGAGTTGGTTTCCTTCAGGTGAAGTAGGGTGTCTTCTATCTCGTCCTATGACGTTAGGGCTGCCTCTTCCTCAATTCCGTATATCGTCCTTCTTAATCGTGAGTTTTTTTATTGCACGGACTGTTCGCGGAAATTTACGCTGTATTTACTTTGCGAAACTCGTGCAGGATGTGTCGAAAATTCGCGTCTCACTCTTGGTTTACCATCGTGTGTAACGGATGAAACGTTTTTCTTTGGTCCCTTGTCGCTCTGGCGGATAAAACATATTCGGGTTTACGGGACAACCACAAATAACGTGACAGTGTTCTTTGATCGTTCTTATATTTCACGGGTTTTCTCGCAAATGCATACCCGATCTACAGAAGATTATGCAAGTTCGCGTATTTATAGCGTCTAACGACCTTCGAGTTTTTATAATGCACGGATTTTAATCAGCCGCAGGAATTAGAATTCTATCCAATCTGCCTTTCTACAAATCAACGCCTAAGGTTACGAATTAGCATAAATAATCGTAGCGTATTCGTTACCGCTGATAAATTATGCCGCGGATACTTGAGAGATCCTCGACGATCCGCATGTAATTGCATCGCTAAATTATTCGCTTCGAGACGGCCGCGAAAAGTCGACATTCGGCAATCCGAGACACACGAGGCAATTATTTTGATCGCGTAATTGACTCGGTAGACGCCGCTAATTAGCAGACGGGTCTTAATTTGCTTCTCGGTTGTGATTTACTCGTCGACGATATCTGAACGATCCTACGTAGATCTTCTACTCCACGTACGATGCCGGCGGCAATTTGAACGTTCAGTCGCATAACATTACTGAACCTGAAAATGGAATCAACTTTTAGACGTTTTCATGTATTAACCTGTGTTAACGGATTTCAATGTTGATGTTTCATCGGCTCGCCGCTCGGTGCTTTAAAACGAAACAATCAATCAATCATTTTCTATCGCGTTACATTTGATGTTTTCGTGTTTCTGGATTCCCGATGATCGTAAATTTCACTATTATTTGTTTATGAAAATGATTTAAACGGAGTAATGTGTACACCGAAGTCAACGGTTTCTTCTGCCTTGAGGAATTCCATTCAGAGGTCAATGTTTTCTTTTCTCGTGATAAATGATGCTCGTTGTGAATCATTAGAAGTTTCAGAGATTTTATTTTATTTATTAGAAAAATGTTTTACTTTTAGAACCGATAAATGGCGCAAACTGATCAGACATTCCGGTACATAAAATAGCGCGAAAATAGTCGAATTACTAGTCTTTATAGTTTGCTTTTTAGAACAGAACTGTCCGAATTGGCACGGATTGGTCGGGTTGTTTGTTACATCTTGTAATGCAAACCTAGTTCTCTAATTTCTGTAAAAGTCAAGTGGCAGTTACTGCTAGATTTCGTGTAATGAAATTTT